TGTGTGTTGTTATTTTGGGGCATAAGCTAGCAGGCGGCCGGGGTGCTGGGGATGCAGCCCCGCCGCTCCTATTACAACAAAAGTGTTTTAATTTGCGTGGAGCAATAAAATAGAGATCATGGTTTTCTCAATGAGCTTCTAATGTATAATGCAAAGTAAAAGCCTAGTTTTTATCTTGATCAATAATGGATTTCTATGTGAATAAATTGTGGTCACTATTCTGCTTGTATTGAATATTATTTATCAACAGAATTCATCTTGTTCTACAACTTGTTAGTTTACAAAGAGGAGATGCTCTACATACCCAGTAAATTGTTTCATTGACCAAATTGACTCATTTTGTGTGGACTGTATCTCCTACAATAGCCAGACAGAGTAATTGAAATTATTTATGACACAGACCTTGTAACTTTAGTTTTAATCCTCCTTTATGGATAGTATTTTAGCTCGTGAGCCAATATAACTGTTATATTGTTGTTAGTGAAAATTTAAGAATACAAGTCACAGTTGTTAGAAATCCTACCTCCTGTACCTAATTTCTCAACCATCTTTGGGACTGGTCCTTCCTTTAAAGTCCAGATCATGACTTAATATATAGCTTTCTAGGCTGGAGAAATGGTTTAGTTATAGTCCTTGTCCTTTCTATAGAGGAGACAAGTTCAGTTCCATCACCTTTCAAGGGCAGCTCATGCCAATTATAACTCCATTTCTAGGATATCCAACACTTCTTTAGATGTCCTCAGCAGTATGCACATGTGCACGCGCAAGCACAGACACACACACACACACACACACACACACACACACACAGACAGACACTGGGAACCTCTCTTAAATAAAAAAAGATCTTAATATTATGCATCAAGAGAGTAAGCAGAGATTACACTTTAGTTTCCTGACTACCCAGACCCGAATTTGAATAATCACACAGAAACTATACTAATTACAACACTGTTAGGCTGCTGGCTCAGGTGTATTATTAGCTAATTCTTATATCTTAAATTAATGCATTTCTATTAATCGATGTATCACCACAAGGCTGTGGCTTACTGGTTATGTTCTAGCATCTTTCTCCTTTGGCAGTTTCATGGTATCTCCTGGATTCCATCTGCTTTGTTAATAACCAAAGGCAATAAAACATATTCATAGAATAGAGAGGAAAATGTCCCCACATCACAAGAGTTCAGTGCATAATAAGCAAATGGCTGAGAGCAATTGATTGAGTGCGCACTCCTAAATGGGATGTCTTTATCAGCCTTACTCCACTGCTACCACCAAGGCTTAGAGGACACAGTGGAGAAGAGCACAAGAATGTATGAGCTGGATAATAGGCCAGAGTGCGAAGAAATAAAAACTGCTTGGCTTGAAACAGCTGTCGTATTCATGAACTCATAGTAAATGGGGTTGCTTACACAAGGTCAAGATAACCAACATAGAATAGCCAACAGGGATGGGGACATACCCTCCAGGACCACTTTTTACCGTGGAGCTACTGGAAGTGAATCCTGTTAGGAAAAAAAAAGAGTCATTCTTTTATTGAATGTATCCCCACTTGTATGTTTCCAAGGCAGTGGAGAAATACCCAGTACCAATGCAACTACCATGAGGACCAGCAAAAAGAGGGAGCGTAGTTGGGGTAGGGTCTTATTAGGGGCTATGTAAGGGAAATTGAAGATGGGAAATGGGGTGTGGATATGATACTATTATATATTACATAGTATTTATTAATGAAATAATCAGTAATAAAAATATCATTAGATTTAACCCTCTTGCATTTCTTGAAGCTGACCTGAAGATAATTTGAAGTAATCAGACAAAACTGGTTCAATCCACATTGAAAGTAAAGTTCTGAGAACGTGATCCACAGCATGTCAAAACATAGACTCTGTGGCTATTCTTACTTTCAAAGAAAAGAGTGAAATGTAATCTTTGCTTTTAGTGTATAAATTTCCATATGAAAACTCCTTACTCTATTACCATACAGAAAGAAAAAGATGGTTTTACAAGTACATGCTATAATTTTAAGCCTGCCATAGTGTCTTTCTTGGAAGACTAAGTTATATTTGTTGAAGGTTTGAGACACACCTAGATATCAGGGAGTTTCATATAGCCTATGCTATAAACTCTATCTAAATGTAAGTGATTTCAGGGAGAAATAATCAATATTGTGACAAAGTATCACAGAGTAGGGAACTTACTTTAGTAGCATTTATCTTCTCCCATATCTGCAGGTCAGAAATCTAAACAGTGGGCATCCCCAGGTTCATATACCTGTTGAGATTCAGTCAGCATCTTCCCTTGCTACTAATCATGACTGTCAGCCCATGACATCCTTTATATTTTAGGCGCTTCATTCCAGCTTTGCCTTTATGATCACAGGGCTGCCTTCCTAGGTAGCTGCACTGCAAGGTGCTTTCTCCTTTGGCTGTGTGAATGTGTGCATGTGTAGTATATGCACATACATGTGTAGGTGTGCTCAGTCATACAAGGACACCTGGAGGCCAGAGGCTGATGCCACCATGTCTGTATTAGCCACTTTCCCACTATTTATTTATTTGTCTGTTTGTTCATTCATTTATTCTAAGACCAAATCTCTCACTGAACTTTGAGTTCTTGTCATTTTAGATAGACTGTTTGCCCAGTAAACTCAGTGATACACTTGTCTCTACCCTGTTCAATCTCCAGTGTCAGGGATAAAGAGGAACATAATTACACCTGGTTATTTGCTTGTTTGTTTTGTTTTTACATGGTTCTGGGGGTGTTAAATCAGATCCTGATCCTTGAGCAACAAACACTACTCAGTGACGCATCTTCACAGCCCAGGGTCTTTCTCTTGAATGGGCATAGAACACTTTGCACCAGGACTACCCACCGTCGCCTTAACTTGACACCATTTCTAACAAATACCTGAGATCATCACCTTGCAGAGAGGAAGATTTGCAGTAGTTATTGTTTCTGAGGGTCTAGTCTATGGTTTTGGGTGCCTGTCGTGAGTCGTTGCAACATATCATTCTTGAATTAGATAGGAACATTTCTATAGGTTTTGTCTACTAATTTGAAGTTTCCACAACTTCTAAGCAGTGCTGTGGATTAGATCTATAATCATCTTCAGTTTTTTTTATTATTTTTTATTGAAAAAAAATTTCTGCCTCCTCCCAGCCTCCCATTTCCCTCCCCCTCCTCCCGCCCCTCTCCCCCTCCCCCTACTCCTCACCTCCTCCCTCTCCAGTCCAAAGAGCAGTCAGGGTTCCCTGCTCTGTAGAAAATCCAAGGTCCTCCTCGCTCCATCCAGGTCTAGGAAGGTGAACATCAAAACTGGCTAGGCACTCACAAAGCCAGCACATTGTGTAGGATCAAAACCCCGTGCCATTGTCTTTGGCTTCTCATCAGCCCTCATTGTCTGCCATGTTCAGAGAGTCTGGCTTTATCCCATGCTTTTTCAGTCCCAGTCTAGTTGGCCTTGGTGAGCTCCCAATAGATCAGCCCCACTGTCTCAGTGGGTGGGTGCACCACTCACAAAACTCAAGTCCAAATGGATCAAAGACCTCAATATCAATCTGAACACACTGAACCTGATAGAAGAGAAAGTGGGAAGTACCCTACAACATATGGGCACAGGAGATCCCTTCCTATGTATAACCCCAGCAGCACAGACAGTAAGGGCAACATTGAATAAATGGGACCTACTGAAACTGAGAAGCTTCCATAAAGCAAAGGACACTGTCACTAAGACAAAAAGGCAACCTACTGACTGGAAGAAAATCTTCACCAACCCCGCAACAGACAAAGGTTTGATCTCCAAAATATATAAAGAACTCATCTTCAGTTTTTTTACATTAAAATTTTGTCATTTTTGGTGTAATTACTAGGAAAACAGATAGTCTTAAATGTAAAGACTATTCCCTCAAGACTTTTTTCTCCTATCTACCCTTATGAAAATAATACCAGGCATAGTTCCTTGTCATTTCTATATACAGGGCATACAATTGTATATGTGACCTTTTTCTCAATCTCTGCCACCAGCATCTTTGACGTCATTTGTGCTTTATTTTGGATATACTAATTACTTACATAAAGAAGATACATTAAAATATGGTTTTCAGTTACTCATTAATATTGTAAGATTTACATTCCAATGTTTTAGCGTAAGGAAAACTGACCAGTATATTAAATGTTAAGGACTGTATACATACCTATTTGTGTGCTGTGAAAATAACATTAAAATCTGAGGGTGAAAGGCAAAATAGATAACACTACATACAAAAAGCAGACATGTATGTGTGTACATTCATGAGCTGACATACGAACAAAAACAAGGTTCCCTCAATCAATTATCCATGACTAATATATGTACAAGCAGAACATTATGCTTTTGAACACTCAAGAATATGTGTGTGGATAACTTGGTTAAGGTCAGCATTTTATTACATATCTTCTTTGTAGTATATTTATGAAACATTTCAAATCAAATTGCTTAATACATTTTAAAGATTGGTATTATTGAGGTTGGTCTGCATGTGCATATTTATATCACTAAGATAATTTACTAGAACAACTTATTGTACATTAGATAGTAAATAATTTTTAAATATTGTTACTCTCATCTTTCAGTTTTATTTATGTGTAGTCAATTACTTTATCAGAAATTTGGGTAGACTATAAATCTTAAAGAAAAGCATATATAGATGAAATTAAGTCTTTTTCTCTGCAAGCTTTTGTATAAGCATAGCAAATGTGATTATTTCAAGTATCCTCTTAAAATTTAGTTAAAAAAATTCCATGGAAGCCACTCTTTCTTCTCCTTGTTTGACATGTGTTATTAAACAATACAAAAGTTAAGCTAATTTCTCCCTAGAGGGGTGGTAGTCTATGACCCTTGATCATGTTTTAAATATCTTGAGTTGAGATAAACTATTCAGTAGTGGACTTTTTGTAAGATATTATCTTTGTTCATGTCACATACAGGTGATATAACTTTAGGTTCATCTTTGTCTTTTCAGTGTGCGCAGGAACAGAGAATAAACTGAGCTCTCTCTCTGACCTGGAACAGCAGTACCGAGCCTTGCGCAAATACTATGAAAACTGTGAGGTAGTCATGGGCAATCTGGAGATCACCAGCATCGAGCACAACCGGGACCTCTCCTTCCTGCGGGTATCGCTATTTCTTTTTTCTATTATTCTTTTCGAGTGGGCATGATGTCATAATGTGCCAAGCAACCCTTCTAGATTAGACATGGTAGCTCTACCCTTCTGCCAGGCAGAGTCTGTGACTGTAGGCAGAAGATAAGCAACAGGGAGGCACCTGCAGGAAAAGGATAGGAATAGCAATGCCAAAGTGACTGACGACCCACTTAGATAGGTGCTGTCACCGTTAGATTGATAAAAAGATCCTGTCATGGTAGCATGCAGGACACACTGCAAGTCCCTCTTTTCCTGACAGGATGAGGACTAAGAGAGTCAGAGGACTAATCAGATAAGGATGGGTGGCTTCAGCTTCATCTCTTCTCTGCCTCGCTTCTGTCACTCAGAGAAGAGGATGATGCAGAGAGCAATAGTGTCGCTCCTCCTACTTCAGGTCAATGCCATTTCTTTCGAAACTGTAAGCAATCTAATGTAAACTCAGAAGAAATCGCAAATAGATGATACATCTATGCGTTACCTGTGAAAATTACATAGCAAACGTGACTATCCTTCTAGAAAGGTAGGGCCTTAGAAGACTCAATATCTGAGTTCTTAGCTCTTGTTTCTAAAATGCAGTGTCCAGAAGCTATCCTAGGCCACACGTGACAAACTGAATGATGCTGAAGCAGAGGAAAACTAAAGGAAGAAGGAAAAACAGGGGAAACGGAAAATGATAGTCCATCAGATCCTAACCATGTGAGAGAGGTTAGGAATGCCCTGTAATCACTGTGGGAAAGTCGTCTTTGATTTGCCATATCGCTAGATTTCATTGAATATAAAAAGTGTGTGTTTGTGCACATATGCAGCTATACATACCTATTCATTTTTTAAATAATGCAATGTGGAAATATTTATAATTGTGTAACCCTTATAATCTTATAATGCACTTATTGACCAATGATAGCATTTTTTGAATTTAAACCTCTAGAATATGAAAGTTATATATACATGTTTGAGCAACATCCTTTAAACAATGGGTCTAAATTTCTTAGAAAACATGTTGAACTTAATTTATGAATGTGTTTGGGAAAAGTAAAATAAACCAGGCCGAGATTTCTATGCAGAATTTAAAATGGTTTCTTACTGGTTCCTAAATAACCTCTGTAAATGCTTATAAATTTTGTGCTAACCTATCCACATCTGTAAGTTCATGTTTTATTAAAATTAATTTTAATATTTTTTTTTACTTGTTAATATATTTTGTTCACGTATCTTTTGTTGCTTTATAATACAATCATTCTTAAATGTGACATATATTTATTGTTTAAGAATAATCTTAGTTCATCTACAATAGCAACTAATGCTTCTTGACTTCAACTTTGTAGACACTGAGAACACACATCTAAATAAATCACATATGACTTCTACCTACAACAAACAGTGCATTGGAGATGAACAAAAAGAATGAGGGTAAAATAAAATATTGCACTGGAACACTACTAAGTCTAATGAGGAAACCATTTAGGTTATGTCAGCATTCAAGTGACATTTAATTAGATGAAAGTGTCAATGACATTAAAATGAGGAAAATTAACCAGTAGGCCAAAGGTAGAAGATTCCAGAGTCTCATTTTTTGTTCTCTTGATGAGAAAAGAGTAGTGACTATGAGAGAGGGGGGAGGGAAGGAAAAAGGAAGCAGGGAGGAAGGGCTATAGAAAAAGAGAGAGGGAGAGAGAGAACGAGAGAGAGGGAGAGAGAGAACGAGAGATAGGGAGAGAGAGAACGAGAGATAGGGAGAGAGAGAACGAGAGAGAGGGAGTGAGAGAACGAGAGAGGGGGAGAAAGAGAGAGTGTTATATACTAGGTTACTAAGTGACATGCTATTTAAAGTTTTATTCTGACATATTCTAAAAGCCTTCTACTAATTTGGAGTTTTATTTATTCTTGAAATCACCTTCTGGCTGATCTGCACTTACAGTAACTTTCTCATCACATAACTGACCAGTAATAACACATTAGAAGCAGAACCCAAGCAATAAAGAACTTCTTTCTTTACGTCATGCTACCCTTCCCTATAAGTTCTGAATTGTGAAGGCTAGTTGTAACGCCACGCCAGTCGTTGTCTTGGTTCACATGGCCCTTAGATGTGCTTGTGTGATCATGATTTATAAAGCAAATTTTCAAAGATGTTCTCGATTTCCCTTTTGCAAGAATAGCTTAAATCTATCATGCATGTGGAGAGGGAGGACTAATGGGTACCAATTTCTTTCTGGATATATTCCTGTCTTTAGGAGCTATAGAAATTATTTTGTTTTTAGAGAAATGTCCCACTCTTATATGCATGCAGTCATATTCTGACATGTTTTTTTTTTTCTTTCTGAAAGCACTACCCGTTCTGTGACTTGTGTTACCCACAGGCCAGGTCAAACTTATTTCATAACTTGTGGTAATAGGGGCGCGGCACTGTGTCCCCAGCACCCCGGCTGCCCGCTCGGCTAGCTTATGCCTGAAATAACAACACACAAACTGTATTCATTTAATTACTGCTTGGCCCTTTAGCCCTAGCCCTTACTGGCTAATTCTGTTATTCCGATCAACCCATTTCTAATAATCGGTGAGCACCGGTCTTACCAGGAAAGGTTCAGCATGTCTAACCTGGCGGCTTGCTTCATGGCGTGTGTCTGCCCAGGAGCGCAGCATGGCGTCTCTCTCTGGCGTCTGCTGCTGAGAGGAGAGCTTTCGAGTCTCTGACCTCACTTCCTCTTCCTCCCAGCGTCCTGTTCTGTTTACTCCTCCCACCTATCCTCTAACCAATAAAATGGGCCAGGGCAGTGCCTTTATTAGCCAATGACCTTCCTCCATCAATAACTGAGCAGTCAGTATGTTGAAAAGTACCTAACGTGAACTAGGTGATTTATTCACTACAGAATCAATGGCTGTCCTTCTGTGTAGCATATTGTGTGTATATGTTTGTGTGTGTCATGCATGTGCAGGTGTGTACAGATGAACACATATACATATGGCCATGCAGAAGCCAGAGGCTGACACAAGATGTCTTCCCTAATTTCTTCTTGTCAATACTTCCTTGAGACTGTCTCTTACTAAAACTGGAACTCAACAATTTGGCCCTATGACACGCCAGAGATTTTTCTTTCCCAGGCCCCTCACTGCCATCATTACACTTCTTTATGCTCTACTCAGAATTTAGTGGGTACTCAAGATCAAACGGGTTCTCATCCTTGCCTAGCAAGACTGACTGAACCTCTCCTCATCCCCACTAAGAAATTTTTTAAAACTATTGATGTGTTATAGAGCTTTCTTTAATGGTAAAATGTTCTCTAACCAGCATGAAAGTCTCTGCTGATAATCTCACGATTTCAGTGCCAACATATCCACAATGCCATTCATGTAAGGAAAAAACACAGGGTGTGTCAATTAGAAACCTGACCTGGAAGTATTTGGTATTATAACCAAGAGCACTCAGGTTCTGCACTCAGGTTCCTTGTCCCCTTAGGAATCTGAACATAGCCATCCTTATCTTGTGGTTTGAATGCCTGAGAGAAATGTTCACCCAGTAGATTTGAGCCAGCACTTCGAAACAGATGCACAGAACAGAGAAAGAGAGTACTGTCCCAAAATGTTAACATGAGACTCAGACTAGTTGCCCACCCCCACCTCTTCCTCTCTCTCTCTCTCTCTCTCTCTTTCTCTCTCTCTCTCTCTCTCTCTCTCTGACAGGGTTTCCTCAAAGCCGCTGTTGTAGACCAGACTGATCCTAAACTCACAGAGATCTGCGTGTGTCTGACTCCCAATTGCTGGGATTAAAGGCATGTGTCACCACTACCAGCGTTTTTGCTTGTTTGTTTGTTTTTGTTTGGCTGTTGTTTGTTTGTTTAAAGAAAACACATTTTACTGCGGCTGTTATGGGTTTTAATGGAAAAAATTCCTTTATGTCTTGGCTAATGGCAGTATTGCAAGTCCTCTTTACCCTGTGACTTATTTACTTTTTAAAAATGAATTGTTTATTTTTTATTTTATGGAGATTTGTGTTTTGCCGATACTTGTGCATGTATGTCTGTGTGAGGGTGTTGGATCCACCAGAAAGTTCTGAGCTGCCATGTGGGTGTTAGAAATTGAATCTAGGTCCTCTCGAAGAGCAGTCACTGAGTCATTTCTTTAGCTCCCTCTTGTAGGCTTTGGATGGCTTGTTGGGTTTAGACATTTCATTCATTGGCGTCCAAGAGATACTTCTGGAACTTGATTGTAATTTTCTAATTTCTACCTTTGCCCATTAAATGGGATAGATATTATTTCCTTTAGTATAACTGAAGCACTCCAATGAGTATCCCTCCATGGATCTCAAAAATAAATAAATAAATGAACCTTTGAAATTAGATTGAAAATAGGTTATGGACATAACTCAGTTGGTAGCATACTTGTCTAGTGAGCACAAGGTGCTGGATTTGATCCTGTAGCTCCAGTAAAGAGTACAACCTGGGTGTGGGAAGTGCTGGTAAGAGGAGCAGCTGATTAGGGATCAGGTTCTTTCTTGGGTCTATAGAGTCGAGGCCATCCTGGGAATCAAGAGATTCTTCAAAACAAGCATGAAAGAGGAAGAGCAGGAGAGGTGGGAGAAGAGGAGAGAAAGATGAGGAATAGAAGCTGTGCTTTGTTCCTTTTAGAGAGAGTGGGATGCTTTGGAGACCCTTGCCTTTTTTTCTGATAGGTGACATCACTGCTGAAATGCATTTCAATGCATTGCTTTCAAGAAGTTTTCATTATAGAAAAATACTCTCCTTCCACATATTTTTCATACAACTTCCTTTTCCTGAATTTCTTTTAGGAAGGATAAATAATCTAGTTAACTGTTTTTAACATTTGACCACTAAGCCAGCACGCAGTTGGCTAGGAAGAAAAGAGGCTGGAAAGTTTATTTTCTTTATACTTTATCACCACCACAAGGGGAAGCATAAAATAGAAAGCAACAAGGCATAAAACCACAGATTTGGTGTTATTGTCCTACACTTCGTG